CAGTTTACCCATGAGATTTGGCTGAAAGTTTCTCTTAGCTGTTTCTGAAAATTAAATCCACTCTCAAAATCTCACTGCCATTGAGGACAGGGAAATATACACATACAGTTAAATAATTTAATTTATTGTATTATATATAAAGTGAGAGTTCTAATAAAATTTTGAGTACTGACAGCATCATTGTCATAATTGAATTATCTCATAATTATATTTATTTGAGTGAGAAGTGGGTGATACCCACTAGTTTATGTTATTCTGGCATGCATGTTTTTAAAAATCATTGACATACATAACATGACCTCATAAAAGTCAAAAGGTATACAAACACACACACGCGTATCATATAAATGTGACTATACTATTAAATATGAAATATCGTGGAGATGTGATACAAAGAAGAATACTTAACAGCAACTTTTCTGTTCACATTTCTATCACAGACATTATCAGTTCATTAAATATTTAAAACGGCAGCTATTATTAGGACATAGTTTAGATAGTGTATCTTACTGCGTTAACGTCTGTGTATATGTACGACACACACACACATTCTGTATGCTTTGCATCTGTTCTGATGACTCTTGGTTCACCCATTTTCATGCGCATCCTCTTTATTGCTGAAGAACAACTATTGTGGAAGCAATCACGTGTCCTCAGCATGTCAGTTTTAGCCTGGGCAGATTCATGCTAGTGGACTATTTTAATTAATATTTTTCCCACATTATAAACCCGTCGACGACTTCTTCTTTCTGACTCTTGGAAAGCCATCGTGACGCAGTTCTCTCTGCCTTTACCACCGCCACGCTGCTCTCTAGTTTATGATGGTATCCTTCCCGTTGAGTTTTACAAGCACATGTACGGTTATTAGATAATAATGAAAAACTGCTTTTCAGTCCTACAGTATGTCTCCCTGAGTGCAGGCATGCTTCCCCGTGAAGTGCTTGTGACGCTGTTCGTAGCAGGCACGTCCTGCGCTATGGAAAGACTTTTTGCACATGTGTACAGGTAGCCCGTTGCATCCTTCCTGAGCCTTCGTGACCTTACCCGGGCCAATTGTTTCCCTCCTACCCGCTCAGATTCCACGACACGTCCAAGAACACAGCCCCACTTAATGAGTTTGTATGAGAGCTGGGAGACCACTTCCTCACACCCACCCATCCTTGTACCCAACACGCACTGCGCAGCCTCCTTCCCCCAGCCCTGCTTCTCCTTCTCACAGCTCAGCTGATTCCAAATCAGCCAGCACTGTGTTCCAGGTGTGCACAAAGATTCTTCCAGCCCTTTCAACTTTCCTTCCCTTTTTTTTTTTAACACCTTCCTAATTACCTGGAGGAGGAGGAATCTTTCACTTCCTATATTTGTAATTATTATGCACCAGAAGGTAACCAAAAATATACTGAGAACCATAAGGAATAGCAATAGCAGTGTATGTCTAAAGAATTAAAATAACCTAAATTTTATGGTTAAATATCTTCAACAATTTCAAAAGCCTTTGACTGTACCCCCAAATTTCTACACAAACTTTTCCATTTTCTATCTTAAAATACACTTATCAGCATAGAGATGAGTGTGTAAATAAACTCCATTAATGCCTCAATACAGTGGTAAAAAATAAACTCCTATTCACATGATACTGTTCTACCCATCTGGTTTAAAAACATGTACTTCACTAAATATATCAGGTGACTAGTAGTATGCTGACAGTTTTGGTAATCTGCAGAAGGCTGAGGTCCCAGCGCTTGAGTCCACGTTAGCCTTGGGACGCTGGGAAAATCACTTAAGCTTCCAAAGTCCTGCTTCTCTATGTTCAAAAGGCGACAGCATGGAGCCCAGCAAAAGCTGGTTATAACCAGTCATGATGGTGCTTTGAGTAAAAGACAGCAACTGTAGATTTTATTTCAAAAGCTTGTTATGAAAATTAAAACTATATTGGGTAGAAGCAGCATAAACTATAATGAACTGTACAAATGGGAAGTGCTATTTGTTTCATAGGTTGGGAAGGTGGCCTTTTGTGGGCTGACCCCTGCTAATCCTTTCTTACGCGACCTAACGGGGCCATCTTTGTAACACACACTATGTATCGTGTAACTCAGCTGCTTAATACCTGCCAACAGCTTTTTTTTTTTTCATTGTTAACAGAAAAAAGTCCATGCCCTGGACACCTTGACTGAATTCCCACTGATCGCTCAGCTAGTGGACCCTGTGATACATTTCCAGCATGAAATACTTAGGAGTGCCTTAAAAACACACACGTGTTCAACTTCTAGGTCTTTGTCCCTGCTGATTCCTTTTGCCTGACTTCTCTTTGTCACTGTGGGAATCTTGATAAGACCTATTTATTCTCAATTCTAAGCTTAAATGTCACCTCCAATTGGAAAGCTTCCCTGCAGTTGATTGCACATCTCAAATTTACCTCTTTTTATACTTTTTATAACACTGTATCAAGTCATTAAAACAGTTCTGTAACTGTCCTCAGACATACTAGAAATCAAGGCCAATTTCTTATCTATGATGTTAATCCAAGCACATAGCAGAGTTTGTTAAGCAGAGGCCTTATGGGTCAAACAGAATGAGTAATAATGCAGGCACTGGAATTAGACAGACTTGGGCTCAAGTCTTGGCTCCATCACTCATTTGCTGTGTCAGCTGAGAATTTCACCTAACCTTCTTAAGACTCTATTTCCTTGTAGATAAAATGGGAGTAATAATGGATGAAGGCATTATGCTAATTAGTATCTTGGATTCAGTGCTGACGGCAATGACGATGATGAAAGTACTCAATAAATATGGTTCAATAAAAAGATAATTAAGTGAAATAAATTCACTGCTATTGAAACTTGTTTCTAGGGGACCATGCAATCCCAATTCTGAATAACTTGTTCAAAACTAGCTCTTGGAACAGAATACATTTAGCAATGTTGGGTTATTATATAACATTTATTTGGCATGCCTTTGAGGGAGCCAGATTTTATGAAGATAATAAAGATGATGAAGATGATGTTAATGATGCCAAAAAAAAATCAACTTTCCTTCCTCAAGAAGTAGGCATCCTCTGTAACAAAACTTCTGTCCAGTGATTTCTTAATAGCCTACCAACAGTCTTAGAGAAATATAAAGAAAGGTGGAGGATCTCTTTAGAGATGAAAAAAGCCAACAAGACTCTTCAAACCCAAAATACAACCTCAACTATCCAGCATTTGAAAATACAGTGCTTTAATTCCAAAACAATATTAAATATATTTCTGGAAAAAAGTGTCAAAAATCTGTCAGTGAATTAGTAAAAGGTGAAAAAGATAAAAACCATGGTTTGAACACTGTTAAGAGGACATTGGAAACCTCAGACAGTGAATATTAAAACAAGTGAATATATAACATTCTTTAAATAAGGAGGGAATTTAAGTTCAGAAGAAAATTCCCATTCAAATTATGTTCTGTGCGAAAAGAAACTGCAGGGCCAAAGGTCTTGAAATATTTTTATTTTCCACGGAAAATATTTTCTGCCCTTCAGCTGGCTATTGACTTAACAGCATGGAGGAAAAACAACTGCATCGGATAATGGAAGATGTGTTTTTAGAAGAAATCATTAAAAACATGATTAGAAGCTGGTTGGCTGCGAAAGGTCCAAATTGTCAAAAATTATTGATGTTTACGATGGTAATCATGACAGCTGAAAAGTATCTAAATAACAAAAAGGCAATGCTGCTTATGAAGTGCTGGGGTGCAATTTGTAATGATTAGTGGAAAAGCACACTAATATGTCTGATGCAGTATTTTGAAGGTCACTCAACTATCAACTTGCTGTAATGCCGTTCAATTAAGTACACAATAAAGACCTAAGATTATTTATGGAAGGAATTTTCTAGTGCTTGTAGAATAGTAAATGACAAATCCCGGCTGTATGTACAAGCAGAAACGCCTGATCTAATGCACCATTAAGCAACTGCAGCTTTGCTCCACATTTTTTAAACATTAAACTAATTATGATGAGGTCTGGTCTTACTATATACTGCATATTTAATCTTTTTTAAGAGCCTATCAAATTGAATCACCAGACACAACTTGTTTATGCTATAAGCAAACACATGCAATATTAACAATGTACAATATCCTGGCTTAATTAGAAAAAGTCCATGTTATCTTAAATACATTTAGGAGTGTAATACCACACAGTTCTAATGTGAACTTGCCATTTAATTATATTTTAAAACTAATTTATGTAACTTGGAATTTTTCTTTCTCTCTTTCTCCTGCATAGAATGCTGCTCTGTTGACCTACTTCAAACTAGATTCTACTAAAAATGAAAGCAAGAATAAAGAAAGATTGAGCGAGCCTTTAGGAAAGAAGAGGAGTGGTGGTGATGAAAACCACAGACAAGAAATGACGTAAATTTGATTACTGGATGGTGATCTGTTCATCAAGCCGATGGGCTAAATTGTACCTGAGGAGGGATTTTCTGGGCATTTTTGCTCTGGGCTCTAGCCTAAAGTTCCATAAACGGGATCTTCTTTTTCAGACAACAATATATTTCAAACTTTTCTTTCTGTCTCTCTCTCTCTCTCTCGCTCCAGGGCATATATGTTGGGTATGCAGGAGAAAACTTTGAATCTCTTAATAATCGTCTCAAATTTAGACACTCAATACATAAAGAAGATATCTGTGGGCAACACCTATCAGTATAGCCTGGACTTCATGAATCCTCTGTTCTTTTGTCTCTAAAGATACTGACCTTGCTCTCTACAACCTCGTTTTTCAGCTTAGGTTCAAAGGCAATCTTTACCAAAAATAAGATACATGTAGAGTCATCAGAAATCAATAGTCAAGCATAAATTCTGACCTGGGGAGTTCAGACTTATTGTTTAGTAATTAAGCTTTTTTATCAATGGCATGAAATCAAACAGTGTACAGGAAAACAACTTCACTTCTTGGGCAAGAAAAAGAGCCACCACATCAGAATTTAGTCTTACAATATAATCCAAAAGAGGTGCTAAAGATCGTTTACCTTCACAGATTGTGACACCGTTTCCTGAAAATCCAATGTTGCAGTAACAGCCTTCAGCTCCATTCCGTATCTCACATTTTGCATTTGGGACACAGGGTGTCTTGGTACAGTTTTGAGTGTAGGAACAATTCAGCAAAGTGGAAAAACCCACTAAAGAAAATAGAGAAGCACACCCTTTAAAAAGAAAAAGAAAAACCTTCCCCCATTGTTGAGTAGTAGACTACATATACATATACATTAATATCCTTCTTTCTTTCCATTTTGATAAACGCATCATGAGAATTTTCCCCCAGGGAGCATTTAGGTGAACAACAGGACAAGAGCAAGTAAGTAAAAAAATTAACTTTTCTTCAGCCTCATCGTTTACCAAGTAAATCTTAACTGAGCTAAAAGTAATACACAATCTGGGCTTTATAAAGAAAACTGCATTCTTGGATAACTAGCCTCTTCACTCTGAGATGAAATACTTTTAATAGTCACTGCATGATTATAAAGGAATATTTTTCCTCTGGGGCACGATTCTGTGCTGAAATCAAGGTCAGCTGAGTATCGGAGTCTTTCCAAAGTTAAATCTCTATTATTTCATGATGAAGAGCAACAGATCATGTTATCCAGGAACATAAATGCAATTATGTTTTTTTTTCCCTGTGTTCTAATGATCTTCTAAAATTCTGCCTTTTCCATAGTAAAGTTTCTTTCACATGTTCTCCCATTAGGGGGAAAAACAATCAATTCAACATATGGGTCAAAGACTGATCTTCCAGAAACAGAACACCAGACAAACACCACCAGCCATATGCAGCGTTAAAAGAGAACAAGCCTTTATTTCAGAGTTATCGAAATCAAAGTTGGCAGTGGTATTTTGTGGGCTGGTAGGAAAAGATAAGGAAAAGCATAGGACGTTCCTCTATTTTTTTTTTTATTGTTGTCCTAGGACTTCTCAAGACAAG